TGAAAGGAAAGTGATGTCCTCAGAAAACCTTTCAGAAGAAATTTCTGAGGCTGAGAGGCGAGGGAAATAAGAGGAAGTCCCATTGTTCTAGTGATGTCCTGTTATTATAGAGTGATGCCAGATTTATCCCAAATTCTTTGATGTGCATTTCAATTGATTTCAATGGGACATTAGATAATCATTTCAATTTTGTTTCTTGTTCTAAGTGATCAAGATAAGGAAAGGCTATCAATCTGAATATATAAGAAAAGAAAAAGATTGACACAGCATAGAGATAATTGTGGGTATAATTACAGATATTGCTCAAACTAGACAGATAGACATATATACATATAGTGACATATATATGGTTGAATTAATATGCTGAAAACAGAATTTCTTCCACCAGGTTTTCATCAGTTGTCTTTTAGTTGATTCAGTTGTAAGGCTTTCAACCTACAAACCTAAATGAAGTGTACATCGGAATCCTGACAGATGATTATATTGCCCTGATGGCCTAGCAGTACAGAAGACCTACTGATGTCAACATCAGTGCTGTCAAGTCACCTTCTCAAGGCCTTATTTTCACTCAAGTGGAAGATTTAGATTATGGCTAGGACTCAACATAAAATCGGGAGCAGAAACAAGACAAAACTGCATGTAATCAGTTATATGCAGCTTCTCTGTAGAACAGAATAGTCAATAAGGAGGCAGCTGGAGGAAAATTCCCTCTGATGGGATAAAACATGCTCGTGCTTAATTTGAGGACAAATGCAGCCTGACACTAGGCGAATCCCTTACATCTTTCCTTGGGGTGCAGTTCTACAGACACACGCATGTACACACAAAGTAATTTCCATTAGGTTCAGTGTGGTTGACTTCTAACAAATCAGGTACAGAATCACAGTCCATTTTAATCCATGTTAAGGACTAATGTACAAACAAATGTAGGTGAGATAATAAGCTAACAAAACATGATTCATGGATTGCTACTGATCAAAGCAACTCTTCTGAACTATAAATTCATTTAATCTCAGAGGACATCTGAAAAAAGGCATTGAAGAGACCATGAGAGAAGCATGATAGCTCTCTTCGGATGAATCTACAAATGTAACTCTTGGGCAACATAACAATAGAATACAAATAATAGGTTTAGATTACAGATGTCTGCCCCAAGGGTCTGGAAGCTAGTTTAAGGAAAAATACAATAATTAACACATATTTTTGTTGTATGACATGTTGCCCCTTAGGCCCAATTCAAGGTGTTGGTACTGGCCTATAAAGCCCTAAACAGTTCCGGCCCAAGATACCTATCTGACCGCATCTCGGCCTATGAACCCACCCGGACTTTGAGATCTTCCGGGGAGGCCCTGCTCTCGATCCCGCCAGCCTCTCAAGCATGGTTGGCGGGGATGAGAGATAGGGCCTTCTCGGTGGTGGCTCCTCGGCTGTGGAACGCCCTTCCTGTAGACGTTAGGCTGGCACCATCTCTCATGACATTCCGTAGAAAGTTGAAGACCTGGATGTTCGTGCAGGCGTTTGAGTAATTCAGTGCAATGTTGGTAATTTGAACATAGGAACGGAACAATGGACGACGAATTTGGATCACGCTTGGATGATGAGGCGATCAGGGTTGGGATTTGTGATAATTGTGTATTGATGATTGTTTATTAGTTATTAGTTATTAATGGAAATGTGTAATTTAACTGTTATTGTATACTAGTTATTGCTGTTTTTATTGCCTTTGCTGTCTGGAAACCGCTGTGAGTCGCCCCCGGGCTTGAGATACAGCGGTATACAAGAATAGTAAATAAATAAATAAATAAATAGGCACAGAGAAATGGCTGAAATTTCCATTGTACAAGGGATTGTTAAGGTTAAAAAGGGCTCCTTCTACATTGCCAAATAAAATCCAGATTATCTGCTTTGAAGTGGATTATAAGGCAATACAGAATCATATAATCCAGTTCAAAGCAGATAATGGGTTATCTGCATTGATAATATGGATTATTTGGCAGTGTAGAAGGGACCTAGCTCTAAACTATTCAAAATGCTTCTTATTCATTTCAGGTAACGAACAGAAGGAAAGGACCTCACTTACATGCCTTGCACAGAATCTCAAATTTTCTCTTTATCTTACTCATCCCTATGCAGACTGAGGTCAGAAAGACATTGACAAGGAATGTATACTTTCCCAAGAAATTGATCACATTCCCTTATTTCGTTAGTTTTCATTTTTCCCAGACCTCACAATTGTTTCATTCTGTTCCAGCCATCAGTTTACCATTTTAAAAAATCTGCATAACATTCATACACTCATTCACATGCATTTATCTAAATAACACTTCTAATAAACACCACTTTCCAAATGATTCCCTACTATATAATCCATTACTGCATACAATTTCTCTTAACTTTTGGAGTATACATTTGCCTAATATACATATTATGTGTATTTTTAAAATTCTAGAAAGTGTATTTTTGGTTCAGGTGTAGGTTTGGGAAATTCACATTTGGCATGCTCTTGAATACAAATTAAACAAACATCTCACCCATGTGTAATGACTTCTATCTGCAATCGTTTCTCTCTCATAGAATCATTGTGTATCTAAGATTCCAAAATTGTATCTCATTCAGGCACTGACCTGATTGGACTAGAGGGCTGCATTCAATTAGCACAAATTTGATACCACATACTTTGCCTGCCATGGCTCTATGCTACAGAATAATCAGGTTTTGAGTTTGATTAGCTACTGATACATTTCTAATGTACCTCCTTAAACTATAATATTAAACCTCTCTTGTAAAAATTATCAGTACTGTATGGAGTTTTAAAGCCAAGATTCCATAGGATAGAACCATTGGAGAATGAAACTATTGTAAATGTATTATGCATCATAGTCCTTCAGTTCTGGGAGATACCTAGACTGGACATTCTATTAACCCAAACAATGCTTCTTATAGTTCATGAAGTAAAAGAGATGTCAGTGAAGCATCCAGAACATCCTTGGATGAATTGTGCTCCTCCTCGTAGAATGTGTAGTCTACCACATATTTAATAATTCTCTTGTTGATTCCCAGTCTGTTGAACCTCGGCTCTTCATTCAAGTCTCCTGTAAAACCCCAGCATGAAACTAAAGCTCAACCCAGCATGCAACCAATGCTCAAAAAATACTTCTTTGGGCTACAGTTCTTATAATTCCTCTACCCATCATGGCCATCTGATAAAAATGCTCTTCATCTGAATATCTGGCATCCAAGGAAGAAAAAAAACCAGATGGCCTTCAAAATCCCTTCCAAGTATATGATCCAAGGTAGCATTTAGCAAGGCTATGCCTGTGCAAGAGGACATGTGAAGGGAAGCAATTGTAGGAATTCCTTCAAAATCCTACAGTTCCCTGAAAAACCTGTGCTTAGGAATTGAGGTAGCTCTTGAAACCAGCATAAAAGGGAATATACTGATAAGAGTTAATGGGTAAGAGGACCTCCGTGTTCTCTTTCTTCAGGAGCAAGCTTCAACTGGCTTTCAATGCCTTCCATAATTGGAACTAATAATTTAATGAGCAAAATGTTGAATCCAGATGAAATCGCCTAATTCTGAACTATCCTTATACAGAGTTGTTGTGAAGATTATTGTAATAATTGAGAGGATTACTGAAACAGTTTTATGAGAGGATATAAACTCTGAAGGGATGTATTAAATGCTTGGTATTGCTATTACAAAAGGCAAATAAATAAACCAGTCTGTCAAAAAGTTGCAAAAGACCTATGTGGGTGCTCGAGGGTATTGAAGGGCAAATCCAGACTGCATACATTCTCATCTACAAGGTGAAGTGCACTGGAATGTCTCATGATGAAGGAAGTTCTCTTAGTCAGAACAAATTTGATTGTCTCAGGTTTAGATTATTTGATTGACTATATTTTACCTTACAAATAAGCCAATGCTTTGAGATCTGTTGGGGAGGCCCTTCTCTCTGTCTACTTTGTAGGCACACAGGAATAGGCCTTCCAATGGCTGTCCCTAGGCTCTAGAACTCCTTTCCCAGAGAAGTTAGACTGACATTGGCCCTGCTTTCTTTTCAAAGAAAATTATAGAATATTGCATTTAGGAAAGTATTCACGACTACAAGGCTTGTCTCAAAAAATAATCTTGCTAATGTTTGTTTTAATGATAAATGTTTTAGTCTGGTTTTAAACTTTTGATTAATCTCATTTAGTGTTTTGTCAGTTTGAACAATATACGTTTTAACTTTCTGTAAGCTGCATTGAGTCCTGAATTTATAAAAAGGTGGGATAGAAATAAATATAATATAACAGAAATAAATACAATAATATTAGTAATAATATTAGTAACAATAATAGTAATAGTGATGATGATGACCACCACGATGACGGCATGAATCCCTTATGCATCCAAAAAAGAGTCCCAATTTAAACCCTATTTGGACATCTTTCTGCTTATTTCAATACCTTAGTCCCAGCTCCTGACAACAAAAAAATATGTAGCTTAATTTGACATGCATTCCAAGTAAACAGATAGCAGATCAAGGTAAAGAGATTCAGCCTGTACTGAATAGGATTATACCTCCCCTAAAGATGCAGGTGTGTACACTGGAAGTACGTTAGAATCTTGCTTATCCAACATAAATGGGCCGGCAGAATGTTGGAGAAGCGAAGATGTTGGATAATAAGGAGGGATTAAGGAAAAGCCTACTAAATGTCAAATTACATTATGATTTTACAAATTAAGCACCAAAATATCATGTTTTAAACAAATCCACAGAAAAAGCAGTTCAATACATGGCAACTATTCAGTGTGAATACCTGCTGTGATTCTAACTGCATCACCTTCCCCAGCATATAAAGCACAAGACAGAAAATTCAATTATGAAACTGTAATAAATGCAAAGCTTTTTGTGCCAACAAATCAGACATGATGTAACTAGTTCTAATAAACTGAGAAAAAGATAAAATACCTGTTGCCAGAAATATCACAGAACAAGGTTATCTGATTTACTTACGGCCAGATACGTTGCTGCATATAAACTCAGTGCTGCCTCTTTGGATGGAAATGTTTTTCTGGCTTTCATGATGAGATCTGGATTTCCAGAGCAAGCCTCTGCACCAGTGATGAACTGTGTAAACTGCTGACATCCAAGAGCAGTATAGTTGGGTTTGCAAAGTGCAAGGAAATGTGGTGCAAGGTTCCCAGTTACAACTTGTCCAGCATTTACAAAGATATCAGTTGCAAAAAGTCCAAATGCATAAATGCCTAGTGAAAAGAAAGGGGAAAGTAATAGTTAATATCCTGCAACAAACATTACACAATTGAGCAATGGCAATTTCTCCATGTGAACTCTATGCTGCCTGATGAACAAGCAATAATGAAACCAGCACAGAATACCAGAATTGGTAGAAATTCTGAATAGTATTGAATAGTTCATGACTCAGCCATGAAGAAAGGAAAGGAAGGAGGGAGGGAAGAAAAGATGGGAAGGAAGAAAAAGAAGGAAGGGGGAAAGAGGCAGGGAAGGAAAAAGAAGGCTAAAAAAGAGAAAAAAAATTAGAGGAAAATAAAAAAGGAGGATGAGAAGGAAGAAAGATGAGTAATAGAAAGAAGGTAATAAAAGAGAAAGGAAAGAAAGAAAAGAAAAGAGAAAGAGGGAAGGAGGAAAAGATGGGAAGAAAGAAGAGGAAGGAAGAGGAAAAGAGGGATGGAAGGAATAAAGAAAGGAAGAAAAGTGGAAGAAAGAAAAGGATGGGAGAGGAAAAGAAAAAAAATAATTACATGGCTTAAAAAGAAAATATGGAATGAGACCTCTTCTTGAGGAATACAGCTCTGCAGATCAGCCCTCTTCCTCCTGACCTTCAGAAAAAGGTTAAGGACTTGGATGTGGGATCAAGTGTTCAGTTAGTAACCCACTAGAGAATAATGGAATAATGGAATAATGCAATGATAATTTGGAATGGCCATGGATTACGATTTTGGATAACATGATTTTAATAAGTATTTTAAAAGTTTGATATGTTTTTAATGATTGATTTAATGTATTTGTTTATTTTTATGTATGTATGTTAACATGGCATTGAATAATTGCCGATATATGTTAGCCGTCCTGAGTCCCCTATGGGGTTGAGAAAGGCGGGGTATACATAGAATAAATAAATAAATAGGAAGAGGGAGACATGGGTGACAAGAGAATGGAAGGGAAGAAGGAAGGAAGGAAGAAAAGGAAGAGAGAATGAAGGGTGGAAGAGCGAGAGAAAGAGGAAGCAAGGAAAGAAATGAGAGGGAAGGAAAAATGGAAATGACAGGAAGGTTAAAGCATGAGGGTGGTCAAGCGGCTGCACAGGACAGACAATCGGATTGTGCATCGATCCCCTGCCTGCCCCAACACACCTCCTCCTCCATTCCCAGGGCACATCACCTTCACACCAAATCGCTAGAAAGGAAAGGAAATGACAGAAAGGCTTTAAAGGATGGGAGAGAGGGCAAGTGGGTGCACGTGCACACACACACAGGGGAGGCAGTGGTAGCGTGTGTCAGCCACCCTGCTTGCACCAAGATGCCACCACTGCAGCGGCCTCCTCCTTTGCTCTGAGACCTGCTTCCTTCAACTCCACTCAACATAGCCAGGGCCACTACATTTTAAAATCAGTAGAGGAAAGAAACGCTCTGAAACATTGGAGGAAGGGGGGGGGGCAACAGTGGTAAACGCATTCTACCATTTTAGCAAGTTTCATCCTGGTAGCTCTAAAAATGAGGGAGAAAGGAGCCCTGGAAGCTCCTCCCCCTGCTCAATTATTTAACTAAAGAGTAATGAAAACATTCATTATATCGGTATAGTTACCGGCCTAATATACATGTGTGTGTAGTGCTGCTATTAACACACCCATTTTTGCTATAATCCAGTTAGTACTCAGTACCTAAGACCATTATTAATGAGTGTGATTGAAAACTTTGCCATTGTATGAGACCCAAAGGAGATCACAGGAAATTCAAATGAGCAGCACTTTGAGATATGTGATTTACACTGAGTAATGCATAAACATTTGAAAGTTAACACACAATATTCTTACCAAGGAACCTGACAGTTCTGCGCACCAGTGGATTTATATAGCAACAGTCTCCGGTTAATAGAGTTTTTTCTTGATTTTCAAAATCCCGTGTGGCCATCTGTAAGCAAAACACTGCCGTTTCTCCAACAATTATCTTGAAAGGAGAAAAAAAGAAGGAAAAGGAATGTCAGATTCCAGTAAATACAAGAAAGCCTAATAATAAGGAGACACTTAAGTTTGCTTGTGAGGCAAAGGCACCATATGGCTCATTTTAGTTTGTTTGCATAAAAAGAAGGATTAAATTTCACAGCACTTTCCCAGAGAAGTTTGAAAGCAAATGTTACACATTACCCTTGAAAATGGTGTGTATACAGTCCTTATTTCCAGAACTGGATCCTCTTCTTCGGTTAGAGCAATGGGGAGGAATCATATGGCAAGAGTGCTACCTTAAGACAAGGTGTTTTTATTTGAATATCATACTCTGTCATAGAAGGACGATATTTATTTATTTCCTATATTTATACCCCGCCCTTCTCCCCCCAAAGGGGGACTCAGGGCAGCCAACAAAGGCACCATACGATGCTAGCATCATAAAAACAACCACAGTACAATCAAAAAATTAAAACAACAATTAAAACAATTAATTAAGAAACATCCAGTAAAATCGAAATCCAAAAAACCAGTCCAGGTCAATTCATTGCCATAAATTGTATGATCTTCTTCCACTTGCTGCCTACTGATCAAATGCTTGATCCCATAACCAGGTCTTGATTTTCCTTCTAAAAGACAAGACAGAGGTGGCCAATCTGATATCTCTAGGGAGGGCATTCCATAGGCAAGGGGCCACTGCTGAGAAGGCCCTGTCTCTCGTCCCCATCAACCGTGTTTGCGATAGTGGTGGGATCGAGAGCAGGGCCTCTCCTGAAGAACTTAAACTTCATGATGGTTAGTGACAGGAGATACGTTTAGACAGGTAGTCTGGGCCAGAACCTTTTATCACTCTTGTAGTATCATCAATGTTCTTTGAAAGCATAAGGAATCATTCCTAAGAGTTGGCAGTAATATTTCAGTCCAGTTATATCAGTGCTGTAGCACCATCACAACACAGGATGAAGCATTCTGTAGTAGTTTGGTTTTTATTGAAATTCTAAGTGCATAAGGGTTGTAAAGCCTATGTCTACAATTTTAAGGCATCAGATCACATATCTTAGCAGATAAGCAGAGTCAAGACTGATTTATATTTGAATAAGACACCACCATGGAATACTAGAAACTGTAGATTATATTTCAGAGGAAAGCAATGACAAGTGACCTCTGTATAGTCTAAGATTAAGAAACCACTGTTAAATTCATGGGATTACCCTAAGTCCATGGTTCCCAACCTTTGTTTCCCCAGAGGTTTTGGACTTCAACTACCAGAATTCCCAGCCATCTTACCAGCTGTTAGGAATTGTGGGAGTGGAAGTCCAAAACAGCTGGATGACCAAAGGTTGGGAAACACTGCCTTAAGTTGACAAGTGACTTGAAGTAAATACACACACATGGAAGGGTTACATCATGATGTAATTATTATGGAGTATGAAATTATGGAAAGAATGTTCTTACAAGATTAGATGTGGCCTCTGCTATTCTAAATTGACTTGACTCTCATATATGAATACACACAGGAAATTATAACTAAAAGGAAAACAAAGCCTTCTAATTGCTTTCTGAATATCTGAAATTACTCTCTAACTAAGCAATGTAGCAAATATACCTATTTCTTTTACATATGCATCCATAAGGCTTTAAAAATATACAGTAGATAAGAAAGTCTAGAACCCTACTCATAAGTACATGAATATATTCTACTCTACTATGGCAACATCCTCATGTTCCAAAGGTTTAAAGTTTGGTGAAGCATTAGAGCTCCCTGTCTGAGAATTCTAAATGCTACTCCCTAATAATCCTAATTTTTCATGGGATGTTGCCATGGCTGTTAAAGTGGAATATAGCACTATAGCAATGTAGTAAAAATGAATGCCTAGTTCAGGAATGTGAGGTTATTAGTGAAGCCTATAGCTGATTTTTGTGTACTAATATAATACAAAAGTTAATAAAGCATACAGCATGAAAACTTAACACACAAGTATGGATATGTATTAAAAGGAGCCCCCAGTGGTGCAGTGGGTTAAACCGCTGAGCTGCTGAACTTACTGACTGAAAGGTCGGTGGTTCGAATCCGGGGAGCAGGATGAGTTCCCGCTGTTAGCCCCAGCTTTTGCCAACCTAGCAGTTCAAAAACATGCAAATGTGAGTAGATCCATAGATACCACTTCTGTGGGAAGGTAATGGGGCTCCATGCAGTCATACCAACCACATGACCTTAGAAATGTCTATGGACAATGCCGGCTCTTCGGCTTAGAAATGGAGGTGCGCACCCCCCCCCCCCCCCCCCCAGAGCAGGGCATGACTAATCTTAATGTCAAGGGGACGCCTTTACTTTATGAAAAGGATAAAAATGCACACTAGGGTATATTACTAGAAAATGAAAGTTTTAAAAAACAAAAAATTGTAGAGATTGATAATGGAAGCTATCCTTGGAGAGAAGTGACACTTTGCAGGGTATCACATATTTGTAGGACACCACAAGAAAATTCTGTTATATGTGGCATTCTAACACTTCCGATTGCATGCACTTTTTGCCACATGGAATATTTGCAGATAGCTTTTTATAAAGATTTTAGCCGATCCTTCCTGTAACTGTATCTCTCTTGCACTTCATTCTTAAATGAACAGCGCAAAGACTGCAAGGATCAGACAGCCTGTTAAAGTGGCCAAATAGGTCACATACCTATAAAGCTATCCATTTCAAATAATCCAGCCATGTGAACAGTTGAGAAATGAGTACATGGATATTTTCTAGGGAAAGAGAATGTCCATGTGATCAACTCTCCCTATAGTCCTGAGAATCATTCCTGGGAAAATCACTTCATAGGACTGCATGTGAAGGTCACCTTGTTGCCAAATAAAAGACAAATATTTCATGTGAGTCTTGGGAAATGTGATATTCTCACAACAGAAGAAGGGGATACAGTCATTGACTCCCACTGCAACCAATCATAAGAAACTGTACATGGATTACAGAGTGCTATACACTATGTGAAAGAACACCACAGAGATAAAAAGATTTCTCATTTGTGAACCCTTCAGACAAAAGTTTTAAGCTTTGCAATTTTCAACTAAGCTAGAAAGAGGTATAAAAAGGGAGATCAAAAAGAGGGGGATAATGCGAAATGTCTTGATTGTTGATGTTTCAGCACAAAATGATAGAAGCCTTGAAGCAAAATACCTTTGAATTCTCAGCAGAACAAACACACTCACCACAGTGCAATGTAAACACATACAATACAGTGATGAGTAATGGAATCTGTTTCCTGTCTACCGTGCTTGGTGCTGCAACCTCTCTGCCTACAACCTCTATGAAAATACAAATCAAGCAAAATACATGAATAAAATTGACCTTGGATGCAAGTTAATCAGAATGATGACAATGGCAACAAGAGCTTGGTATATCCATCCCTACAGTTTTTATCAAAGACATCGTTAACTGAAGCCTTGAGTAAAGTTTTATCAATATTGTCTCTAACCCACCCTTCAAAAGCTGTAGGGAACAACATTGATAAGTATTGTGATACACAATATAGGCAAGGCAGTGAAGGAAACAAATGAAATGGGGAGGCATCCATTTTGCAGCTTGAGGAGGACTCAAACTTGGTTCCTACAAGATAGCAAACAGTGTTTCAGCTAGCTCATGGTGCCATTGCTTTAGGGCAGTGATTCTCAACCTGTGAGTCCTCAGATGTTTTGACCTTCAACTCCCAGAAATCCTAACAGCTGGTAAACCATCCCAAAGCAAGATAGACAGCAACCACTTATGACTTCAGCAAAAACAGACCTTTAGAATGTAATTGGAAGCCAATTCAAGTCTTTCAGCATAAGTAAGATTTATTCTCTTTCCCCTGTACTAGTTACCAGCAAAATAGCCTATTGAAAAGTACATTGTAGTAATCTACTCTATATATTTTCAATATATATAACTTTTCAATATGAGGAAAAAAGAAAAAAGTCCTGACCTGCCTCTAAGGATGCACCCTTATGTAAAAACTAGCAATGTCATTACTGGATGTGGAGGAAAACTCCCAAGGTGTCAGGAATTCATAATTTAGTGCAAGTACACAGGACCATAAAGATGATGCAATTTTAGAACTAGACAAAACAAAATAAAGGCACATATATTATTAATTCATGATAACAAATCTAAAAATCTTGGGAATTACTCAACATGATTTGAAGCACACATTCAAAAGCAGTTTCTGTCTTGAAAGCAATCCAATGCACATGACACACTTTACATAAAAGCTTTATAACTGAAGTGTTTGATCAGATCAAGGTCAATCTGAATCAGCATCCCAATTCAACAGCAAAGAAAAAATACTATAACATATGTATTTCATATTTCTGACTTCATCTTTGTTCTGTTCTTGCCTTATCTCACCTGGAACAATGGTCTCAACTGAAACACTGATCCAAACTCAAGGTGACTCCTTGATTCAATGTAACTTACATAAGGGTTGACTTATCAAATTCCTACTCATTCAGCATGTCGACTCTAGTGGGAACTAACAATGGGTTATAAGCCAATGAGTAACACACACAGCGGAATACAATCCTACATTTCTGCTTTGAACTGGTATATATGGCAGTGTGGACTCAGATAACCCAGTCCAAAGCAGATATTGAGGATTTTCTGCCTTGATATTTTGGATTATATGGCTGTGTGGAAGGGCCCCAAGTCTTTCAGTCTTGCAACCCTGTCTTTAAGTTACCCTGCAACTTCTTGATTCCTTTTTATATTATAGAGAAGACAGAGAAGAATCAAGAATTGACACTTTAGTAGTTTCTGAGAGCAATCACTGCATCCAGCAAGAGCACTGAAGGTCAGGCATTATCTGTGGTGACCACTCTTTTTCATCCTCAAGAACGTTTAGATCTTTTGTCTTCTAAAGGCCCTTCTACACTGCTGAAAATGTGGAGATGCCAGTTTTCTCTGTATGTCTTAACTACACAGTCTTTGTCTCTATTTCAAAGGCTAAATGGTGGGCAGGAAGGGGA